CCATCAGGTCCTGGTCCCTTACTGATATCTTTTTAAATACATTGAAACTTGAGGGACTGTAAAAGTGACCGAATTTATACTAATCCAGTGAGCCGAGTTAGAAGTCTGAGTATTAAGATTTGGACTATTAACACTAAAAGCTGAGCTAAAATGAGTATTGAATAAATCACATATTTTCACAGGATCTGAAGTCGTATTATCATCTAGAAACATTATGTCAGGAAGATCATTACATTTTCGTTTTGATTTTACAAAAGACCAAAAGAGTTTACTATTAATACTAATCTTATATTCAGCATTATTGATAAACTTGTTATAACAATCGTCCTCTATTAATTTTTGTCTCTCTTTTAGTACGGCAAAATACTTGTAATCACTATCCTGTTTATACACCTTCCACTTGCGATGAAATTTTCATTCATAATTTTAATCAATGCGCTGTTATACCAAATCGGGTACTTAGTGTTAAATTTAATAGTTAGGTAGGTACGTGTTTTTCTATTATATTATTTAAAATGCTATAAAGATCCGACACACACATTGATATTACCGTCACTCAAATTAGCTTCCCAGTCTACTTGCGTAGGATTTATATTTATTGCCTCATAATCGGCATCTCTATATAACTTGACTGTGTGAGCCCGAGCGTCGAGTAGTTTCTCATGTGATTTTAAAATAGTAAACTGAAAAACTGGATGGTGCGAATCCTCTGAAACTATTAGAGTAGTTACTAAACTGACTTTGCAATTAATGTTGGCTATTAAGAGATCCAAAATACGATCATTAAAATTTTTAAATATACATGTATTATACAGACTAAAATTATTAAAACAAAGAAAATTTGCTAGTTCATTAACTGTATCTGATGAAATATCTCCATGTAAGGTCACATTAGCATTACTATTTTTCGACCAGAAAGCGTTAGGTATGTTAAAATCTCCTAATATAATGAAGTAGTCATCAGAGTGAGAGAGAACTTCATCAGAGATATGTTTATAAAAGTTTGACAACACATCTTTATGAATTCGACATTGTGGAAAATAACAACGGTATATGTTGCATCGTTTATGTCGTTCAAATGAAATAGAAACACGAATCACGTCAGCAGCTGAATCTGTTGACGGGATGCATTTAACGTTAGTGACCTTTAGCCACTGCAATCAGAACCCCTCCACCCATTGTATCACCTCTGACTCTGTAGTTACGATCGCTTCTATATACATAATACCGTGCGTCAAATAGTTCTAAGTCGAATGTACCCGAATGTAACCAATTTTTAGTGAAACAGATTATATCATACTCATGACATAAGACCTTTCTGAAAAGCAAGTCAGTCTTAGTACGTAGACCCCATACGTTTTGATAGTAAATTTTTAAATTAGAACCGATTTTTATACCGATGTAAACATATATATATATATATACATTGACTTATATATTACTAGCGTAAGGATCGGGCCGACAGAGCAACTAAAACGAACCAGTGCGCTGGCCCTAAAATTACAGTTTGGGGCCAACGCGAATTAGATTTGGCTGTCATAAATATGTATAGTTGCGTGGTAAAAGAATCCAAAAATTACGATACAAAGATTTAAAAAAAAAACATACGATATCGTATCATCGGTGAATAAACTTATATTAATTTTGTTACAATTAAATTATTATATAAACCCATTTTTAAAGTTTTATTTTACAGTTAGTTTAGTTACATTACCAAGATTAGATCAGGGTTAGATTCAGACCTTCAAAATATTGTACATGGAAAATACAATCATAGTATTTTAAAAAATTATATCAAGTTTGACATATCAGGTTTCTTTTTTCCCATGTGCCGGGATTTTGGCGTCACACGTCTAGTTTATCTATACGTTTCGTTTTTTGACGGTTTCATTTTATTTCTGTTAAATTTTTATCTAAAGAACTTATTATAAGTTAAATTTTGAATATTGGTACCTAATATATTTTATATTGAATAAGGGTAAAACAAAAAGAGTACAAAAGAAACCATTTCTGCTTAATGAGATCTGAAAATCAGATTCATAAAATATTTTGAAATTCTGTTTTCAAACCAATTGCTTCAGGACCATAAAATTTTTATCATGGTAGCCCCTCATTGAGCCGCCATTTTGTTAGTTTGAGCGTCAGTCAGTGTCAGTACGAGTACCGTCATGAAGGTTAGAGAACGGCGAACGATCGCTACGTGCTAAATCATAGCCCGTCTGTGCCTGAAAATTTGTAAAGAATCATGCCCATTATTGACCTGAAAATTTACTAACGTGTCTAGTGATGTAAAATATCTTATAAAATTGCATATTTTTTTCTTATTTCGTATCGCATAATTGAATTTTCATATTAAGCCAGGAAAAAAAGTAATGTTACTTTGTTTATCATTCTCAATAGACTTTTGGAGACGGAACGTGTTTTACAATGGCTCAAACACCCAGAAGCTATGCCAAAATATATTAAAATCGTGTTTTCCACGTTCCATTTCAGACTATGAAAAACTTTATCATTCGTTATTTGTTTTATTAATGTTCAAAATAACCAATTTCTTTTTTATAACTTATTAATTTATGATTAGATACGATTTTTAATGGTTTTATACTATGTTGTGGAAAGAAAAATATGTAAGTGTACAGACTTTATCTGACAGCTGTTATAACCTCAAAAATTTATTTACTTAATAGCATTTTTCCCTGGCCTCTAAACTAAAAGGTGATAAGTTATTATGTTATTACAAACAATAATTGTTTTTATACAACAGTAGTTGTAGGTAGACGCAACCTGTTAAAGAAATCAAGTGACAGGTCAATCAATGTATGGAAAGTGGGCATTATTCTTTATAGCTGCGCTGCCGTCGGTAAATAGTATCTGCAAATTAATTTTTGACATAAAGAAACATTAAAAATGATAAAATATCATAAAAAAATAATAAATCAATAATAATTAATAATTTGTATTTGTAATAACTTATAATATTTATAATAATTAAAATTATAAAAAAACATTATTGAGACAACTTAGCGATCGCAGCGCCTCTTTTATTTTGTCCATATTTCTGGGACACTATTTTCTACAGCGATCGTTCTCCTGTTCTCTAACCTCCATGCGTGTAGTATTCTGTACATGGAGTTTTGGCGGGAACTTGGCCGTAGACAGATTGTCGCTCCTTGTCGCTTGTTGTTTGTGATGTTAATGATTTGAAGTGGATTTTGATTCGTAAAAGTGATGCGATTTTGTGAATTAAACCAACAAAGAAATAAGTGCTTTGGTGTCGATATAAACCTCAAGTAATTTTGATCGCTTGGGCGCCTTATGAACTAGAGTGACTGCCGTCATCAACCTCAACTGTCCGCTAGGTTGAGCGGGTTTTTGGCGCGAACTTGGCCGTAGACGGATTGTCGCTCCTATTTTATCGCTTGAATAATGGTTTGAAGTGGATTTTGATTCGTAAAAGTGATGCGATTTTGTGAATTAAGTGTCTGCGCGTGTGAAATTTTAGAGAAAACGACGAAACAAGTGCTTTGATGTCGATATAAACCTTAAGTTATTTTGATCGCTTAGGTGCCTTATGAACTTGATTAGCTGTCGTCACAACTGTCCGCTGGGTTGAGTTGTCATCATAATCTCTTAAGGGCTTCGCAATGTGACGCATCAGTATATTGTAAAGAAAAAATATTAAAATAAAGATTCATAAAGAAATGGTAGGCTCAGAAGGGTTAGAACCCAGAACCGTAAAGTCAGTTAATAAAATTTTTCTGTGCACATGTCTAACCCGTGTTGTCGTTCTAGTGACTTTCTCGCTAGATCTAGCGGATTTTAAGAATGTTTAGCGGATAAAAAAAAGGTTTTAGCGAGAAATAATTATTTAGCGACTTCTAGCGACATTTGGACTTTTGAGATGGCGACTTTTTTATAAAGTAATTCATTTCAAATAAGTCATTTATCATATGTCCAATTTTGTAATCTACCGTTGGTAACACTGTATAATTAATATAATTTCACGAGAATTCCCGAACATAAACTAACAATTCAATGTCGTTCACTTTCATCCGTTTCGACCTTAGACCATGGTCTAAGGCATAGATTACTGACTATGTGGTCTAAGGTTTCGTCATACAAAAATGCAGCAGGAGTAAACATATTCGAAGATTTATGTAACTTTGCAATAGTAATATTATCACTGCCGCACTCAAAGTAGAATTTGAACGCGTATTTGGTGCTATAAATGTAGTTAAAAGCAAACTGCGAAACAAACTATCAGAAAAAACTTTAAATTCCATTCTTCTGATTAGAAATCAGTTAAGGATTAAAAAATAGAATTGCGCAACGTATGATATTCACGAGGATGTTGTCAACCAAGTCGATAAAGGCAAAAACAAAAAAAAGATGGGAACTGGAGACATTGGCGAAGCTTCAACTTCCTCTGAATTTCTTTTTGAAGATCTGGATCCATACTTCGCTATTAATTTTGTAGGTACGAGAACGTACTGAGCTAATTGTTTTATTTTTAATAAAATGACTAATGTTTAAACGTGGTTTAAAGATTTAAGATTTATTTTTTTACAATATGTTTTTAATTTGTACATGAATAATTTTTGTTTTAGTTGTCATATCATTAATCTACACTATAAATAACTGATTTATATGAAATAGAGTCCGCTCCCTTTAAGGTTTTAGTGAATGTATAGATATAGATTTTCGGTATTCATTGACCATTTGGCGAGATTTTTTAATTAGCCCAACGGTACCACGAAAATATACCTAGGGACATCTAGCGGATTTTAAGAAAAAGAAAAATCCTGTTTCTGGCGAATTTTTTCTGTTTGTCTAGGGACTTTAAAATTTGTAGAACGGCAACCCTGTGTCTGCCTGTGTCTAACGTGAAACGTCAAAAGGTATTTTATGGTTGGTTACGTCTTTGGATTTGGTTGAGAAATGAGAATGAAGTTAGATAAACTGATAAACATAAAGCCATCATATTAAAGAAGAAAATAAACATGGAAAGGACTTTTATCCACCCTATAAATGAAAACTCTTTTATGCAGGTTTTCAAGTATTATAAATGTAATAAACCAAAGCCATCGTTAGACAATGTTATTTTATTAGAAAATAAAATATCTGGAAAGGTACATACATAACATGATAACTATCAAATTTTAATTTTACTGAATATTTCTTGTAAAGTAATGAATAATACATAATTATATTAAAGGAACACCTTGAGTTAAAACAATTAGAACTTACGTCAAAAAGGTAATTTTTAAGTTATTAGTATAGACTACGTAACCTAAAACCATTATCTTTCAGAATCTGATCGGGCTCTTTAGTCCACCAACATTAATTGAAGATTTAAGAACTGAAGTCTTAGGTCTTACTAATGTAAAAGAGTGGAACACCTACACGTTGCTAAGACATCCTGGGTTGATCCTTATTAAGAATCCTTTTACAAGGCTCGGACAGAGATACTGGATAAGAAAATGTTTAGAGCAATATCCGAAAAAACCAAATAAAACGAATATAGACACAGAAATGGTTTTAAATGATTGGTGGAAGGAATGTTTTAAGAGTGGACATTGCAATTCAAAATTACAGAATAAACTTCGTTGGACGACTCTTGGTTATCATCATAATTGGGACACAAAAGTAAAATGTTAATATTCTCTCACATTCGCTCACATTTTACTATTTAAATAATTTTACTGAGAAGCAATGCATTATTCTATAATCTATTAAAAATATATAATTTTTTTATAACATTGAAGTTACAATAATATAATATCAGTCAACCTAGTGTAATATACCATCAGTCCATGATGGTAAGTGGCTACTACAGGCTATGGGCAGCAACGAACTGCAATCAACTTCAAATAAAGAAAAGATATAATATTATGAAGTCTATCTAAATGCAATGCATTCCCTAAAACCCTCATAGAAATGAGAGATGGTTTGTGCCCTGGGATGTATATAGGCTACAGCTTTACTTTTGTAAATTAGTTTTAATTTGTTAGTTTTCCAAGCACTATATAAATAAAGGTTCTATACAAATAAAGAAAATCAATTGAATTTAAATATAAAAAATAGTAAATGATGATTTATTATATTTATGCGAATACTACACAATGATTAAAACTACTTTTACCATGGGTGCTGGAAAGCACCCAAAATGTCGGGAATTAAAAAATAAAATAAATGCGGTAAAAATCCATAAAAGTAGTTTTAATCAAAATGTAAATGTTTGTTTGCTAAAAATTTGAAAGTTTTCCATCAATTGTTTTGAAATATTTGACACAATATTGTATTTGAATAAGCAGTAGGGATGGGCCGAATATGGATTTCACCAAATACGAATATTTGGCCGAAAGTTCTGTAAAATTTTTACCAAACTGAATATTCGGCCGAACATTATTCGGCAGGATTACCCCGGTACCTGACCAATTTATATCGAAACTTGTTACCGTAAAGCGCGTGGGATTAGCACCGGACCCTTCCCCTTGCTCCCTCGCCACACCTGACATGTTATTGCATCATCTAATACTGAGCAAATTGTGGCGGCACATGCTTGTTTTGACTACTTTTGTGAGAAAAAAAGTATTTCATTGTGTTATTCTTAGTGAAAATTGATAATTATATGATGAAAATGAGTGGTAGGAGATCTACTACTTGGACCTATTTTAGAGAAAACTGACGACTGCAATGTACATTACATTACAGTTGTCAGTTCTTTGCTTGATTCCAAACAAAATTTTATCAAGCTTTCTATTTGCTATAATTGGAAATAAAATCTACAGTGCCTCAAAAACATAACGCTATACAAGTAGATTTAACTCATAAATAAATGTACTTTCAACAGTAAAATTATGAAAGACTGGATACTTTGAGTACCACTTTAACGAATATGCGGTGATTTAGCCAAATATTCGGCCGAATACGAATATTCGGTAAAGCTGCCGAATACCGAATATAAAACGAATATTCAGTCCATCTCTAATAAGCAGGCTATTCCGTTTATCCACCTTAGGGTGGATACTCGAAGACACATGTTCATCTATCCACCTCAAATGAGGTGGATAATTAAAATTCACTTTTATTTGTTCTTCTGACTGCCCTGAGTACAGGTCAACACATGCACTTTAATTATTAATTTTTCATAACCACAGACCTTATTAAAAATGTATTACATATTGCCATTACTGTTACCGTTACAGCTTGTTAATGTCCACACATTACATATTGCATTTAAATCAAATTAAACTTCCTTCTTTTAAATAATATTGCGTAATTTATAAATCACAGTATATCCAGGCAATTAAACAAACACTAATTTCATTATTGAGTTGTAATTTGATATCCTGGATAAATTCCTCACTTCTCATGTACATTTGCACTTGTTTTTTTTTTTTATTTCTTTGCTAAATAAGATGTTACGATTGTAAGTTTGTCTTTAAGTTCATTTTAAATTATTTTATGCCAAGATTCCAATGAATCTGTAATCCAGTGAGGTACTCCTTTTATTTCAGAATTGACCTTTCAAACAAGAAGTATATATTTATTTTTATAAGTCTACTAAGTATCTTGAGCCAGTTTTCATTACATTTCTATAAATGACTGTACACGGCCGAGAGAGAAAATGAGAAGAAAATTATTCCGATTATTCAACCCGTCTCGGGTGCGTAGATAAACACATATTTCCGAACATCCATTCTTGGGAGTGGATAAACAGAATAACCTAATTGGCATATAATCACATATTTTTATTTAAATTTTGAAAAACTTGAGCCACAGCAACATATGACAGAGTACAGCTGGTATGTAATAAAAATTGTAATAATAATTTAACAAAAACATAATTTTAGTATTTCTAAAAACAGGTGTATACTGAAGACAACAAATCATTATTTCCTGAAGATTTGGCAGAACTTTGTGATTGTATATCCAATTACCTTGGTTATCAAAACTTTAGAGCAGAGGCAGCAATTGTAAATTATTATCATATAGGGTGCACACTTTCTGCTCATACGGATCATTCAGAAGTTAACCTGGAGGCACCCTTGTTTTCTTTTAGGTAAGTATTTTTTCATATTGTTATACTGTGATTCTTTGATTGGAGCTGTGAAAGCTCAGGGGTTAAACACATTTTTTTTAAATAGGATAAGGCTGACTGAAGAGCACACAGTCCATCTGATGGTAAGTAGTTGTTGTGGCCAATAGACATCTACATCTATATGAGAGGTAATAGTTGTGAATCCTTGATTACAAATCAAAATGCAGATGCATTGTCACCGTTGAGGACTATGAAGTGATGTAATGGGAGAAGATGGAATGCCTTGTTTCCAGTGAAAAGGATCCCCAGATCTCTACACTCACCATATAAAACACAGCAGTCTTGAGCTGCTATTTTACGCTGGTATTTTGAGAGAGTATGGTCCATCCCCAGTCGAGACAACAGAGTAACACAGCTGCAGTATGGCTCTACCATGTAAAGAAAAAAGTTTGCTGTAGATATTGTGGTTTTCTAGCAACATTGGTTCAATCTGTGCTAGCACCAATGCAATTAATATTACCGTTACAGCCTATTGAGCCCACTGCTGAACTTAGGTTTCCTCCATAGAATGACTCATAGGGGGGATATTTGCTATAGTTGCCCTGCTTGGCAAGCGGGTTGGCAACCACATTTTTTTAGTTTTAGTCATTATTAGGAAGATGCTGCTGCCAATCGCCTGATTTGTTCCTTCTGTCGCCTCTTACGACATCCACGGAATAATATGGGGTAGTGGATGTTCTTACACCGCCACTGTACGGTCACGGTTTTTTAATGCAATATCTGCATTAAATTTATTAATTATTTTCCCAGATCTTAGTTCACAATGTGTGATGACTAATTTCCTTAGAAGCACTGAATTCCTGTGATAATTTTAAAGTGTGACATAAAGTATACAGGTCAATCGGCAATACTTCCTTTAAAACCCTAATCAGAATTTACTAGAGTGTCTCTTTTCTACCTAGAAGATTATCTGAATAGGTTACCTCTTATACTACTAACTAAGCAGTTCTACATTTTCTTTTACCAGTTTAACCCTTTCCCTATCCCATGAATCATATATGAGTATTTCGATTGTTAAACTATTGTCTGTTTGGAAACTAATTATGTTAGTAATTACATGTATGTAATTATAGTATGTTATTATAGTATGTAATTATAGTATGTAATTATAGTGTAATTATAGTGTAATTACAGGCTCTGAGGCATTAAATTTGTCTTTATGGAGAGGACAACAATGCAAAAGGTTTTTTTATTCTGAATTGATTGAGAGATCCACAGGCTGTAGTTGCCACTTCTCAGAATATGTAGTTAGAGTGTTACGAACCAAGATGGACTTTTAGATATAAAAGCAGTCCTATCACCTGATATAGGTTGGCTAGCGTGTACATAGTGGTAGAGTGTACATGGAATGAAGTTTAAAAAATGTAAGGCTCAGTGGAATTGGCTAGTGGTTAAGATCATTTGAACTTGGGCTTAAGACTTGTCATCATTATCATCATCATCATCATCATTACAACCCTACATAAGTTCACTGCCGAACAAAGGCCTCCCCCAAGGAATGCCACAAGCATACTTTCTACAAGACTCTTTAAGTTGTTACATAATGACTGATATGGTCGCTCACACAATGCGTAAATTTTCCTATAAATAATAAAATCAATAAAAAAACAGATAGTATCCCTTACACTAGTTTATCTGTTTTTTATATTTATTACTCACAGTGCTTGATAGAATCTCACCTGCTGGTAACTGGTGGATAAGCCCCAGATGGTAAAATAAATTGAATTGATTTAGAGTAACAAAAAGCTGTTTTACTCTTGCTCTTACTTTGATTACATCTCAGTCTCCTCCCTTTTTGAATATGAATCCTCCCTTTACGAATGACGAAACAGCTTCGTATTCTATAGTTTGTAGCGCTTCTTTTTTGTGTATGTGCAACAAACCCAATTAAACGATAACAACTTGTTTTCTTTGTATTTCCAGTTTTGGACAGTCGGCAATCTTTTTAATAGGAGGGCCAGACAAAAATGTTGAACCTTCAGCAATTATGCTCAACAGCGGGGATATTGTTGTAATGTCTAAAGAAGCTCGTCTTTCTTACCATGCTGTGCCAAAAATAGTTTCTGCATTATCTCAGCCTTGGAGTAATGGGGAAAGTGATAAAGAAATTTGTGATAATATGGCTAATTTTAAGTATATAACAAATAGGCAGCAGCTTATAATAGACATGAATAGAAATATTGATAATAAAGAATGGGATTTGTTTAAAAATTACGCACAGGAATCAAGAATAAATATGAATGTAAGACAAGTATTACATGAACATCAAAAAAGTTTACTTGATGTAAACAATTTTAAATCATATTTTCTTGTTTCATTTGCACCCTTCTATTATATCGAAGAATATTTCCTTTGTGTTTCTATCTTGGTTTTTCTTTTGGGCTGTTCAGTAATTACTGAAAAGAGAATAGTGAATATTACCATATTTGTATACTACAATGCGCCGTTTGGTGATAATCTAGGATTTATTACTACATCATGTCACATTTTCAAGCAGAGACTTAAATCGTGGTGAGCTAATGTAATCCTGGTATTAAAAAGGCTTCAACAGCATTAAAGCGAAGATTATATGACAATATAGTTAACGTGTCGCTGCAAGAAGTCAAATGTTGAGTTATCTAGTGCTAAAGAGGAGGATAAAATAGAAATATACATTGAGATTTCGTAACTTTTGATATTATTTTTTGCTATCATCCCGTTTAAATCTTCTGCTGCACATGATTGTAGGTAAGATTGGCCTTAATTGTCGCACTTAGCATTCGGATTGACAGTGTCAGTAGTAACGAGTCCGTGTACGTGTTATATCGCCATTTATCGCAAGCCATGAATGAAAACATGAAATTTTGTTATTAGCCAGACTATCGAGCCCTTACGAAACTCATGGGACGAAATGGAGTTGTCGTGGCGTTGAATTCGCGCCGCAAGCAAAGCAAACCAGACTAAATAATTTCCGAAGTACTTCGATATTTATATAGAATAGCTACGTACTACACCTGCCTGACCTGCACCTACGGACTGTGAACACCATGCCTCGCGGGAAAACCCCTTTCCCTTCTACGGCCAAATTGATGATCCCGACGTGATATTAACACAAAAATTTGAAAACTTCAAGCTTTGTCATCGTCCTCAGGAACCCCTTCCATTCGCTCCCGAGCAAATACCGGCAGTCACACTTTACAAGTTTCATCGCAACATTGGAAAAACGCAACCTGTTCCTTCAGACTACTTGCTGTGTTACATTGTTTTTCGGCACAACTTTGACCCTTACTGCTCGCCTTCATCTCGACTTACCGCAGACAACAAGGTAACCCCTGGCACTTGCATCTTCGTCGACAACTGGACTGCACCAGCGACCTTCGATCTGAGCTGGGGGAGATGTTATGGCGCTGTCGTCACTCTACAAGGGAGACGAACCGAAGCCAAACATGTTATCCAACTTTCCGAAGTACTCTGGTATAATATAGAATAGCTCCATATTACCACAGAAAGTTGGCCGCTTCCCGGGCTAAACATTTGCCCGGTGGGAAATCTTCCCTTTTCTTTCCATGGGCAAAGGGTACTATGACACGGAAAATGTGTGGCAATATCTTATTAAGAATAATATTATTAGGAGCTAGTTAAAGAAAATATGAAGATCAATTTTTATGTAGCGCGGGCGGAGCCGCACCCGCTAAAGGGCTTGTTTTGGTTGTTTTGTGTGTGGGGGGGCGGCTACTTTTTCATCATCCTTTGGTGGGGCGCGTTTTTTTGTTAGTGAGGGTGGGGGCCCCCACACCCCGTCGGGGGGGGTGGTGTTGTTTGTTCTTAACCAAAAAAAAAAAAAAAAAAAAAAAAAATTAAAATATACCTCAATAAATGAGAGTATTACCTCTCAGCAACGTCGTGCATATTGAAAGAAAGTATTTCTATTTGGTGACACGTAAACTACAGTTTCATATTCGTTCTCTTAATTATTTTTATTGTGACTGTTTTTGATCTTAGGCTGAAATTCGTAATGATGTCATATAATCACTGGTAGTAAATATGACAAACAAGTAAAGTTGACTAAGAGTGGATTCAACCAAACCTGGATTTATAAAATTTCACGATTTAAATCTTAAGTAAAGTCGTATATTTAGGTATTTTCGCGTGCAATCTAAAGTATAGCTACCCTTGGAATAACCAACATAAGGGTTGAATATTGTTGCTCTATATAAGTGTCATCAACAAAATTATAAGGATGATCAACTTAGACATAAAACAGTTTGGTTATGTTCATATTCGATCTGAAACCAGGACGCGAGGTTTATTTTAAGGGGTAGGTTAAGGAAATTACGTGACAAGCTTAAGCTAAGAAAAAGGGCAGAAGGGCAGACGGACGGACAAAAAGTGATTCTCGATTGATAGAATACTAAAAATAGTATTTTTAAGCGGGGTGGGGGGTGCGGGGGGAGGCAAATGAGCATGCGGCTTACCTGATGGTAAGTGTCGACCGCCGCCCATGAACAACTGCAACACCAGGGAATGGCAGGTGGCAGGTGCCGGCCTTTTGAAAACGAGTGGGCTTATAAATGGAAGGGGCTGATACTGGGGAGCCTCGACCCAGAGATGGTAATAGTATTCTATGTGAGGCCTTGTGAAGTTGCAAGTGGTGTATCGGCATGAAATACTGCCCCGTTCTGCTGAGCACGCCAGCAAAGAGAGAGAGAGAGAGCCAATTTGGCCTTGACTTCCAAGTGACCACGGAACCACACCTCGATCGTTATGTCTACGCCAAAGGGGTTCTTTTAGCGATAAATGCGCAAACATGTGTCTTCTGGGGATTGAACGGGAGAGGATTTAGTCGCCCCCAATCCGAGACTGTTCAACAAAGTCTGGACTTCACGACGTTTTCCCTAGAAATATTTGTACGGCCGGTGTATAAAGCATCACCAGTGCTGTCGTCCGCATCGCAATTAATGTGACCGGTTTGCAACATATCATTGATATGCAGAAGAGACAAAGTTGGTAATAGCACGCAGCCTGGTGGAACACCAGCGTTAATAGGCTTGTAATCGCAGCATGCACCGTCTACTTGATGCTCCGATTTGCAAGAAAACTGGTGATCTAACTGCACGATTTCTCGGAAGCCCAAAGGGAAAAAAGGTTTGAAATAAGCACTTTGTACCCGATCAAAAGCCCTTTCTATGTCTTAACTAACAGTCAAGGTCTCCCATCTTTGAGTTAGGTAGACTAGAAGATCATTTGCAACTGCAGCTGATCGACCCCGGCGAAAACCGTATTGGCTGTCACTAATATATAATAGCTGGCAGTTTATAATGGATTTGACAGTTGGAGAATAAGGAGGCGATGGCGATAGGCCTGTATAGTTAGACGGGTCTGAGCGGTCGCCTTTTTTTAGGGATCAGGTGGACGAAACGTTTATACGTGGTAGTCATGTTGCAACTATTTACTATTACTGGTATAGTTGTAGCACGAATGTGTCGGCTCGACCTAGGAAGGACCACGCTCTCACAGAATATCACGTAAAATAGCAGCTTAACGCTGCTGTGTTTCGTATGGTGAGTGTAGAGAACCGGAGACACTTTTTACTGGAAACAAGGCATTCCATCTTAATTCTCACGGGTGACAACGCATTTGCATTTGATTCGTAATCGAGGATACTTGTAGATGTCTATGGACCATATCTACCATTTACCATCAGGTGGACTGTGTGCTCGTTTGTCACCTTTATCCTATAAAATAATCCAAAGCTGTTTATTTATTTATTTATTTATTTAAGCTTTATTTGCACACATAAAAGAAATGTACAAAACGGCGGACTTAATGCCTAAAGGCATTCTCTACCAGTCTACCTTTGGTTTGTGCAGAGAATCTAGTGATGGGTGCAAAACACATAATTAAAAAAAAAATTAAAGGTTTAAGGAAAAAATACAAATTTATAATATAATGATAATAAACAATACACATACATATACATTTACATTACTACTTACATGCATACAATATTATTTTATATATATACACAAATACCCACAATAAATACATACACAATAAATAAATATGATATTTTTATACTGTTTTCATGCGGGACAACGCCTAAGGAGAAGGAGTATTGGAAAAGACGTTAAAATCGGTGCCGTCTCCGGAGCACATCTTCAGAACTATAGAAGGAACTCCCATCAGGCCCACTCGACTTGTTGATGTCCAGGTAGTAGAGTGTTTTGTGCAAAGGGCCCTGTGTAAACCGCACATCTGGCATAGAGCACTCACACCGCGGGAGGGTCAGCGGTGTGTTCCTCCATCGAGGGTCGAATTGGATGCAATGAGAGAGCCTTGCAGATCAGCTTTCTCTTTTGCGGTATGGGCCAGTGAGTCGATCTTCAAATTATTCAATCTTGATAATTTATTCCTTGAAGCTACACGTATTGCAGGGTGTAGATTTTTACAGATGTACCAATCAAGAAATTCATAATTCAAAAACTAAGTTTAGATCTCTGTGGACAACTGGTTTCATTACCAAATTCATGCACAAAAAACAGGAAATTGAGAAAATTGTGTTTGTTCCGATTAATGCAAAACGCCTGGATAGATTTAGAAGTAATAGGGTAAAAAAAACCTTCCATCGCTTTCTTACAAGAACATATCAGACTATTTATATGGGGTACCTATTACTTACCGTTATAAGCATTGAATTTAATAAAACATTTACTTCAAAAAAATTCTCCAGTAACAGTCGCAAGGCATTTAATGAGTGGGCGACAGTAGGAATTCACAAGAGCAGGCGAAGATTATAGAAACTACCATGAAAGATCGTGTAATCTTTCCGATACTGTTAGAGAATAGGTATGTCCAAAATTATTCTCAAATGTTTAAGAGTGTGTTTCACAGCCAAATCTTTACGTATTACCAACAAAATGAAGACTGCTAACAATACAATTAAAATGACGTGGAGTATAATCAATAGCGAAACCGGTAAGGACAAACCTCGTAACACAAATTACCAATTGAAAATTAATAATGAATTGACTAGATCAAATAAAGAATTCGAAGCGGTGTTTGAGAAACATTTAATTGATATTCTTATTTTGACAACAGAGTCATTGAATAGTTTTCCAACTGTCGCTGATTCATTACTCATACGGAATGTTAATAGGTACCTGTTTAAAAGAATTAAGAATTGAAAAAGTATTACCACCAGATATTGTAAAGTGTTTCAAAACCCTTCATGTAAAGAAAACCGCAGATTTATGGGGGATTTCCGTTACAGTTATTGCGTTCATAATAGATTTAATTGCACGTCATCTTGCTATTATTTTAATACTAGTATGATATCCGTTGTATTTCCTGATTTAATGAAACATAGTATATAAATTTTAAACTTTATTTAAATCCGGTAGCACATCGGACCCCGCTAATTTTAGACCTATTTCTGTACTACCAACTATGAGTACAATTTTTAAAAGGATAATTTTAGATCAATTGTTATTTTATTTTATAAAAATAAGTTACTCTATAAATATCAGTTTGATTTCA